AATGGTGGATCAACGTCTAGCTTTTTGAGAAACCTCCACACTGATTTCCATAGTGACCACACCAATTTGCACTCCTACAAGCAGTAGATCAGAGTTCCCCTTTTACAAATCCTCACCAACATTTGTCTTTGTTTGTTTTAATCTTAGCCATTATGGCTGGGGTAAGATGAAACAGGACTTGTATGGCCACCAGTGCAATAGTGGCATTAGCATTATAAGAGTAACCAACCACTGTCTAATTGGGGTCAAGATCTGCTTCATAGGATGGAGCCCATACCTGACATTTGATATCAGGGCTAGGAATCTGAGGCTAGACACACCATAGGCCATAGGTGAAGACATCATACAACTATTCTTTTAAATAGATACAGTATTAAACTAATTTCTAATGATTTGCTCTTATACCCATAGCGCATATTTCAACTCTCAGGAGAAAAGTACCATTATACAGCAGATGGTGATTGACACAGAGTACTTAAACTGGCCAAAATTCAGAGAATAAGAGGCTACAGACTGGTTATTCTTGAATAGGACACCTATATGAAACTTTTGCCTCTGAAAGCACAACAATCATTACAAAGGAGGGGTAGATAGATTGTGAGAACTAAATGAGGTGGGGGATCCCATGGAAGCAAATTTTCCTGACAGCAGATCATATTAATTTTACAGCAAAGCTGACAGCATGGAGACCTCACAATTCCAGCACAGCACAGACATGGGGAAGAACTCTGACCCTACCTGAGGAACTACTAGCAACCAATGACTGCTGGGAAGGGGTGATTCAGTCTAACTTCAGCCTGAGACACTTAGTAGGCTGGCGAAGCTCCAGTAGATGAACCAACAAAAGGTATTTGATACACAATTCTGACTCTACAGGCCATTACATTATATTAATTATATTATATTATATTATATTATATTGCTAAATGGAAATTTGGTGGGAGATTAGAAACAAGGTGAAGGAATATGGGAGGGGATCTAAATATGATCAAATGTATACAATTTTCAAATTTTCAGTAAAAATTATATTAAAAATTCTTTGAGCTGGGGATGGTGGTGCACGCCTGTAATCCCAGCACTCAGGAGGCAGAGGTAGCAGATCCCTATGAATTTGAGGCCACCCTGGTCTACAAAGTGAGTTCCAGGCCAGCTGGGGCTACAGGGAGACCCTTTCTCAAAAAGAGACAAAAGAAGATTCTTTGGTAGAATACCATTTTACATGTTTTTCCTGGTGGCACGATGTGGGTTGCTGTTCACTGGACCAATGATAAGATAGAACAATATTCATATCTTGAGTGGGAGACCCAGAAATTAGCAGAAGGGATGTTTTGCAAATGAAGTTTGGTTTTATTCCCAACACTGCTCTAACAGTTTAACTTGCTTTATCTACCTCTACTTGCAAATCTTAAAATCCTGAGGAAAAGAGAAATAATGAAAAAATATGCCAAAAGGCTCTAAATCAGCAGTTCTTAAAATTCAATATATGTGAATAAAGACATTTGAGTTATCACAAAATAACAGCAAAATAACAACGATCTCTACCACTTGAGCAAACACTGGCATGTTTATTGTATGCCAGACTTTT